GCCTCTGTGGTTCTCGTCATCACTATTAGAATCATCAGCAATGTTCTTTCCAGGGCTTTCTGGCCGCCTACCTTGCGATGAGCGCGTGGTCCTTGCCGTCATACGAGCAGCGGAAGAAAGAACATTCAATCCAGCGTCTAGCTAACGGGAGGCATCTGAATGGCCCTCATCATCCAAAGCGGTGGATGATTGCACAAGATCGCCTATTATGCCGGCCATGGCAGACGTGAATCGAGCAACTATTTGAGTATATTTGGCAAATTTCTGCTCAATAGAATAATGCAAAAAAATAAAAATAAGTGATCACCAAAATGCAACAAAAGTTATCAGGAGTTCACAAAAAGCACACACATGAACAATACCCAACAAATGTATGGTGTCGTTGCAATAAACACATGAATGTATTCATGATTTAACAAACATTCAGTCACATGAAATTGAAGAACAATATACGAGAAAGCTAAAATAGCACAATTAGATATCAGCAAAAACTTAAGTTATCAAAGGCTTTACAAAAAGAATCATCACAGGAATGCAACCAAGTTATCAAGATATGTGAGAACATATGTTGCCATAAAAAACATGATGGCATGAGTTTCACATCACGAAGTTATCAAGGCATTACAATAAGAATTATCACAAGGTTGCAACAAAATTATTATCCTTTATAGAGCATATGTCACATTGAAAACAAAGAACAATATCTGATGGCATTAGCTTGAACATCCTTATTGAGGACAAGAGTTATCAGCTTCTTCGTCCAGACATTGATAGGAAAAGGACCATCAGGCAATACGATGCCGAGTACAGAAAGATCAACCGCATGAATGTACAATAGATGATAACAAAAATACAAGTGTCATGGTAAACACGAACAAAATCAGAGACAAATGACAAAAAAGAAGGTAAGGCGAAAACACCATCACTTACATTGTAGAAGAGAAGGAAACCCCTGGTAGGCTTGCGTTTTAGCAGCGCCTTGTGTAATTCATCAGCAATGAATTTGGACCAATTGAAATTTTAATACCATTGATGTCACGCTGCAAGTTGAAAACAAAGAAATTGAAGTTCACCGAATGGAACACAAAAAATATGAAAGTTACCGCAGTGACATACAGTAAAGTTATCAGGCACACAAGAAAGAAATGACAAAATTACATAACCACTTAGCAGCACATCATACCATCTAGGGCTGACTTTTTTTGGAGGTGGTTGGGGCAATGACTGTATTCCCAACAAGCAAAAACCATATACGCTTGAAAGTATCATCAGCATTTACAGAACCCTTTATGAGATCAACAATATCAGTCATTTTAGGGGCATATCCAAGTTCGCCGAACAACTCGAGCCCTAACTCAATATCAGTTTCAGTAGGGAGGTTGTAAGGGACATCCTCCCCTCCACGCGGCACGCCCATAACGTGATGCACATATTCCTCATTAACCGAAAGCCTGCCCCGCCCCGGTACGACCACCTCACGGGAATCGGGATTGTAAAGATCAGCAAACCACACACTAAGATTGTTGAAGAGATGGTCACACAGGATATTCCGAAGGCTTGTGAAGTTCATCTCATCAATGGCAACCTTCCTGTCATTATTCATGTCTTTGCATGCTAAAAGAAATGAACTGGATGAGGCTCTGTTCCGCGGAGGAGGGCGTTTCGCCTTTTTTTGAAGGAACCTCATCAATTCCATCACCATCTCCTTTGCGCTTCCTCGGCATTGTGTCCTTGTCACGTAGGAACGAAAAGAAAGCGAATGAAACCAATTAGATGACTTATGAAAAACTGATATCACAATTAATATCAACATTTGTAAACTGGTGTTTGACAAAGCAATAATACAGCTGATAAACTTATCATTGTGGTTCATGGTGACACAAAAAAAGATTATCATGACCATAATAAATAAATCAAGCAAAATGCACTTGGTTTACAGGAAAAAAATCTGGTTAAAAAACAAAGATGGTGCCACACCTGCTAAACTATAGCAAAACAAAGTATATTAAAGCATGTGCAACTGATAACCGAGGCACAATTATAATGGTAAGTGAGAAAGGTGGCATCAATTTGATGATGTACATCCAATTTACCCTTGATAAAATTAGCATTGACACATAGTCATTAATAATCACAAAAATGATGCCGGTAAGCACTCACAAAACTACCAGACCATTGAATAAGAAATGAGCATTGTGTTGCATGTAGTTAGACTAGAAAAATACTGGTAAGTACGGTAACATGATAATGGTAACTGCTTGCACATCATCATTGGGGATATCCAAAAAGAAAAGCACAAAGCGTAAAAACAATTGGTAATCAGAGCGCGATTGCACCGCTCAAAATTATCGACCAACAGGACATTTAGGCACATAAACAGCACCAGTCATAAAAATAGCAGTGTTTTAGCACCTGGTAATTTGAGTGCCTTGTCATTAGTAAGTGCAATACCATCATCGTGATAATTTAAACATAACAAACAACACCGATAATAGCAGTGTTTCAGCATCTGGTAATTTGAGTGCAATGTCATTGGCAAGTTCAATACCTTCATCATGATAATTAAATAGAACAAACAACACCGGTAATTCAAAGCATTGTAAACATGGTAATTAGAGCATCGCAAGCCTAATCAATAGACAGAACACATCAAACAAATCCGACATAACAACATTTTGGGAATGAACTTAGGGTTACTGTTCAAATCAACATCCACTAATGCACATCCTAAAATCCATAAACACCAAACACTATTGCATGTCCTAAAAATCAACATGCACAACACTAACGGAAGAAAAAAAAGGGTGAGAAAATCCATAGTAGAACCGACCACGCTTATCCACCATGAAAACCTATCGACACCAACCAGCCGACCGATTACGCACAAAATTGAACCAAATTTCACAGCCATCTTCAATTGAAACTAGAAGGCGACCTAATCTAACCTAATTGGAACAACAACCAACCGGATTCGGATGGTCCGAGCACCAAAAATCAACGGCGGAACATGCATGCGGAGCAACAGGAAAACAGAGGGGGTGGGCAATGCGTTCCTCACCGCCGATTCAGAATCTAGAAGCCGGCCTAAACTAACCTAATTCGACCTAATGGGAACAAAAACCGGCCGGTTTCGGAGGCTCCGTACACCAAAAATCAACGGCGGAACGGTGGGAACACACCGGGGAAGCAAAACAGGAAGACAAAGGGGGTCGGGAAATGCGTTCCTCACCGCAGATTCAGACGCCGTCCACCGGGAACCGGACCACGCCACCACCAGCAACCGTCGCAGACGAGGGAGAGGGGAGCGAGAGCAGAATCGAATGCACACCACAGCGTGAGAGGGGGGGGGTAAGAAGTAATGCGGGCGAAGGGGAAGACGGGCGAGTGGAGAACGTGGGCATTGGGCGAGAGGGATGGTTCCGGCGGGGCCCGCTTGTCATCGACACCCAAACACTGTAACGGCTATTGCCACGGGCGCTTCGGTCGAAACGGACTACGTGCATCGTTGGATTCCAATTGAACGGCAACGCGATCGTGCGGATATGTTACAAACCACTAGTCGGTAGGATTAGCTTTTGCGAAAAAGAAAAGGATCTGACTAAGAATGTTTTTTTTTGCAGGCAAAATCTGATATTTTTTTTCTTGCTCAGAAGGCAGAATCTGACTTCAGATATTTGAAAGAGCCAAAGCAGTTTGATGATGTTTTCTCTCTCTTGCTATGAAGAAAATGAAGAGATGCCGTGTTCATCCGATGAGAGAGAGCGCTAATGTGAAGCTCCGTGACGAAATCGCAAATTCTGAGGTCATGACGATAGCCCATTTGAGATCTCGGCATTATGTTTAGTTTTTTTATTAATTGGGAAAAAGGTAAATAAACCAACTGTGGATGGATAGCCAAGCTGCCCAAGTAACCCTGCTTTGTCCAACATGATCTCACGCAGCCATCCCACAGTTGACAAGTAATTTTCAAAAGAGAGTGTGAACTGGCGCGCTCGTCCACGTGAGACGTGTATGATTCAGTTCAAGGGGCGCAATACTAAATTGCCACTAGTTCAACATTATTGCACGCATCCAAGCTGATATTCTCCTTCCCAAAAAAATTTATATCCGAAACGGGGCAAGAGATCCAACTGCCTAATGTACTACCACCAAGCTTAAATTCTTCAGTAAGCAGTCAGTACTCAGTTGTATTATTGTCAAGAACAGTAGAAGAAGCAGCAGCTGCTTACATATGAATTGCAGGCCCGTCTCATGCGAAAGAGCCATTTTTACTGTGCTTGCACAAAGAATGAACAGCTGCACATGTGAATGAATGGAGGAATGCGCAGCTGAGTACAAAAATACAACGTTTCACTCCCAGTGGTGAGTTTCTGGTGTCATGTATTATACACATGGAGCGACAGTTCCACCGAGTACCGCTGAAGAGCACGGCACACTGGCCATCTCCCCATCGAAACCAACTAGACCATGAAGGTTCCTGATTGAGCATTAGATCCAACTAGTACCGAAGAGCGCCGCACATTGGTCATTTCCCTATCGAAGCCAACTAGATCAAGAGAGTTTCTGAATTCTGACGGCATACACACACATGGAGCAAGAGCTGAAGAATATAGCACATTCGCCGTCTCCCTGTCAAAGCCAGGAGGCGGACTCTGACTTCTCACATCACATGACATGAGAAGGGCACCGCGCGCACGTTGCACCGTCTGTGCATATACTGTGACCATGTAGAAACGGTCCGATTGGGCAGTGTCCCGGTTTGAATATATCAACCTCCCAGACCCAGCTAACACCAGATTCAGAGTTAATTAAAGTAGGTAGACACAGCATGAGCTGCTAAGCAGTTTCCCTCCCCTTCTCGCCCTCCTCCTGATTATTTATTTTCCCTGTCCCTGCCGACGATCAGTTCTCCCGGACGGCACTCCGCTTTTCGTCATCATCCCGAGTCTTCTCTCTGCTCCTGCTGGCGATTCTCGTGCAGACACACACGCATCGCATACATGATGGGGATCCAGCCCAACCTGCTGAACCAGCTCGTGTCGCTCCTCCTCGGGGCGTCCGTCGCCGGGGTGCTCATCTTCTTCATGTCCTCGGACGGGATCGGGGCCGGGCCGTCCTCGGCCGGCATATCCAGCTGGGTCAATGGAACCATGGCGGCGCCGGTTGCTCCTGCCCAGGAGCAGGAGGCTAACCACACGAGCGCAAGCAAGGTCGACGGCGTTGCCTCCCCTCAGGAGGCCAGCCACAACACTAGCCAGGTTTCCAAAGCTTGCGATTCTTGCTAAGTTAGTTATCTGTACTTTTCCTTTAGCATCTCTGATGTTTAATTTGGTCCGGCAGGCGGCGGAGGACGAGCTGGAGCGGCTGCTGCGGACGGTGGCGGACGAGCACAAAACGGTGATCATGACGTCGGTGAACGAGGCGTGGGCGGCCGAGGGCTCGCTGCTGGACCTCTTGCTCGAGAGCTTCCGCGCCGGGGAGCGGATCGCGCACTTCGTGGATCACCTCCTCGTCGTGGCCCTCGACACCGGGGCGCTGGAGCGGTGCCGGGCCGTGCACCCGCACTGCTACCTCCTGCCGCCCCTGGTCGGCGGCAAGGACCTCTCGGACGAGAAGGTGTTCATGAGCAAGGACTACCTGGACCTGGTGTGGAGCAAGGTCCGGCTGCAGCAGAGGATCCTCGAGCTCGGCTACAACTTCCTCTTCACGGTACGTAGTATTCGTCGCCGGAGCAGGTGGCACAGTTTGCCACTTTGCCTAAACAAAGAAGACAAATCAAAAAATGGATGCCAAGAACCAGTCCAATGTGACCACATTTTTGCATAAACACCCCTCTCACACTTGCTAACAAAAAACTTGAGGCTTATTAGCTTAGCATTTCGTACCTCTCAAATATGTGGGGTACACATCCTACCAAAATACAACATGTGTGGTGGAATTTTTTTTAAAAAATAGGCCGTACGTGTAAGTTTGTGAGAAATCTCTAAGATATTTTATTCTTTTTATTAGATTAGATACACAGATTATATATGCCTTTTAGATTTATGTAAGTATTCTCAAACTTTCTGTATATCCTCCATTATATTATCGCACCCCTAAAACTTTTGTTGCATTTCAACCTGATGATGTAGGATGTGGACATCATGTGGTTCCGCAACCCATTCGAGCGGATGTCGGTGGCGGCACACATGGTGACCTCGTCGGACTTCTACTTCGGGGACCCGTACAGCCCCGTGAACGCCCCGAACACGGGGTTCCTGTACGTGAGGTCGAGCGCGCTCATGGTGGGCGTCTTCGAGGCGTGGCGGGCGGCGAGGCTGTCCTTCCCGGGGAAGCACGAGCAGCAGGTGTTCAACGAGATCAAGTTCGAGCTGGTCGACAAGCGCGGGCTCCGGGTGCAGTTCCTCGACACGGTGCACAACGCCGGGTTCTGCAACAACACCCGGGACTTCAACACGCTCTACACCATGCACGCCAACTGCTGCGTCGGCCTCGCCGCCAAGCTCCATGACCTCGGGAACCTGATGAAGGAGTGGCGCGTGTATAGGGGGATGGACGACGCACAGCGCCGGCGCGGCCCCGTGCGGTGGAAGGTCCCTGGGATATGCATCCACTGATGATTGGTTGATAGCGATGCACATGTAATCGACCATTTCCTTTTGAGATGTACAAATGTGTCTGCAGTTGTGCGTAAGACAAGATCGAGGTTTATGTCGTCAGCTTGTAGTTTGCTCAGAAGGTTTGGGTGTTCATGTCGCATCATGAGAATGCAAACCCACAAATAGTGTATGACATATGATCTTGAAACCCAAGCGAGTGATAGTATGAGATGCCCCCAAGGGGATGATGAGAAGCTAGCCTTCCTCGCGGAGCTCTATGACCTTTGTGACATGATGGCTGGACCCTGGCTCCTTGGTGGCGATTTTAACATGATCATAAGAACAACAGTAACCTCAATCAACTCGTGAGGCAATTGATAATGTCTTGTTGGCGGATGGTTAATGCATATTTTGGATGATACGTACGTGTCATATGTAGGAATGATGGTTGGTGGATATTTTGGATGATATGTTTTGCATGTAAGAATGAAGGTTGGTGCATATTTTGGATGTTATGTTTCATATGCATACTTTGAATGAAATGTTTCCATGATCATGACATTTGTAGACACAAGATATGTCACATACGGTTAAACAACAATTTTCCATTTTAACCACTCGAAACAGCTTAATTTGTGCGTATCAGCATATAAACATCATATCCAACTTTCAGGGACATTACTGACATTTAAAAAACCCAACAATTCCTACACCTGTCCAACAATATGGTAAGCAAACAACTTGCTTCTGATTCTCGAGAATTCACACCTAGAAACTGGTTCTCGGGAATCCATAGTCACAATGATTCTCAGGAATCTGTAGCCTAAAGAAAGGGGGCCGACTCAAGTTAGATTTTGGGTGATAGGTGTTTTGTTACAACCACAGTCCTACATTCCAAATAAAGAATTACATGAAACAAACTATAGCCACTAAAACATTTATTTAAATTGTTCTAATACCTATATCAAAGGGAGCACAACTTTACGCGTGAACGACACCAAACATGCTTTGTCTCTCTTCAGCGACACCGACGGAGCTAGGATGGGGTTAGGCCCAAGGCCAATCCCGGGCTAAACATGGAAAATAGTGCCACGAAGTAGCAAATAGTGCTACCGTTGTGAAAGGATTTTGGTGTCAAGACCCGGGACGCGGCCCGACTTGCCCGGGTCCTATCTCTCTTTTAGTTCAAGAGTTACGGCCTTGTACGACCATGATGTCATCATAGTACGTCTCACGCTGGCTCCACAAATACCGCCTTGAAATCATCAAGAAGGACCCGGGAGTAAGATGCAAACAAAAAATCTCTCAAATACCCTTAAGATCCGAGCATCATTGTAGGGATACTTTTGTAAATATTTTTGTTTCGGCCATAAATAAGGTGCTCGGCAAGGACGAGAGATCATTCACGATTTCGTAACTCCCTAGAACCCTTGGTCATATCCCTCCCCTCCCAAAACTGGCCCAAAAGTGTGCCTTTGGGCTTGCGATGGCGATCCCAATACCATGGAGTTCATGTTCCACATCACCATGGGGTACTTTCATCAAGCTGCGGATTGCAACCTCCCTTTCTCTCCTCTTCCTGTTAGTGCTCACCAACCGGAGTTGTCACCGATTGATATGATGACATTGTCTTTTTTGTAAGAAGCAAATCCTACAGGCATATCACAATACCATTAGGTGAGTTAGGGGGATTGCAACCCATGGTTTGACAAATTAACAAAGTCTACCACCACAAAACTTCAAAATCTAGTGATTATTGCTGAACCAGACAAGAAAGGACCGACAAGGTAACCCCAAGGTAGAAGGTGAATGGTGCTTATTTTACCACCACTATTATCTACAATTGTTTAGCATCGAGGGTAGGGTTTGGTGGAGAGGGGAGCAATGACATCGGAATCACCCCTCACCCATCTTCTTGTTTTATTTTGGTATCCCCTCACCTCTCAAAACCCATAGGAACCTATGGACATTCAGATCCAATATCTACATTTCTAGAAGGTAATAATTGTTGTTTACCATGCATATATTTCCAATTAGTCAGCAACTCACTGCTTCAATCTAATTGATTTGTGCATGCATTATCCATATTTTGCATCACCCATACATTATAGACCGCCTTATAAATACAATGTAACCCGAAGTGGATTTTTGCAATGCAAATAATGTTAATTTTTTAGTTTCACATCACCATATGAGTTCCACGACATAAGTCTCCGCCACTTTGTGAAATTGTGGATTGAAGACACCCTCAGATCTCAAAACCCATAGAAACCTACAGATGTCCATATCCTCACACTGAAGTGCCTACATCTTTAGAAGGTAATAATTATTCTTTTATCATGCATATATCTCCAAGTACGATTTTAATCGCTACCATAATGTCATTAACTCCTGCCAGCATTAGCTGCATGCCAATTAGTCATGGACACCCTATAAATCCAATGCAATGGAGGTATATCTCTCCAACACGGTAAAGTTCTTTTTTGTTTTGGAAATCATCATGGAGTTCCATGACGGAAGTCTTCATCGGTTTGTAAAGTTTTGGAGTGCAACCACTATAACCCTCTTTCTGCTATTGGTGCTCGCCAGCCAGAGGTGGCCACCACTAGATGCAATGATGCCGTCTCCAAGGCGAGCACCAAAACAAAATAGTGGAAACTCTAACGAGGTAGGTAGTTCATTGTGCTGGTCTCACTTCCATTTGGTTTCTTTACATGTTTCCATATGATGTGTAGCATTTCGATGATTCCATTTCGGTATGAAAACACATATGACATGATTGAATCCCATAATCACTTTGTTTCAGTGTTTCTCGTTGAGATAGATCCCTTGTATTACATGGTGTATTTGTTTGGAATAGGAGGCTGGCCTTTTTACTCGCGGCTAGTCAAGTTTTTGTGCATCGGGCATATTGAGCCGTTAAATTAGTATAGTTACTATACATTTTAGAAAGAAAAAAAGAGCACTTTAAGTAGGCTTGTTCATTTAGTCCCCTATTGGTGTAGTGAGCTCCAACGTCCTTTCCAGGTGTTTAGATAAACAAAGCAAATCTTGAGGCTAATTAGACGAGTAAGTTTGGCTGGCTAAGATCTAAGAAATTCTTCCCGCAAAAAAAAAAGATATAAGAACTTCTTGGCAGATTTGGCATTAACTTAATAACATGATTAAATCCTCACAAATATTTTACTAGGATTGGAAGGGGTCTCAAAATGATTAGGATGTGCAAATGGAGTTATCGGGGTAGAAACAATAATGGAGTAGAGTAAATAAGGAAAACAATATTAACTGACGATCAATTCACGATTTAGCTAGAAACACAGGAAAGCTGTCCTAATTGTTATGAAATCAGTACTCCATCCAAATATATAGGGCCTAATACGGTTTTTTAGGTCACCTCTGACCACAAGTTAAAATAATAACATATGGCATGGATGTTACACAAAGCATATGACTAAATTCATATGCGAAAGAAGTTTCTAATGATATAGTTTTTATATCATACATCTGATATATGTTTATTCTTATCAATGGTCAAATGCAACCTCGAAAAAGGGATTAGACCCTATATATTTGGATGAAGGGAGTAAGTTTTTTCAATGAGCAGCATGAATTTGCGCGTGATAACGAAAGGAAGATTGACATTTTAGAAGCTGGCCTTTTTTACGAAACAAAACGTAGCACGATCAGTACTGCGAATCAGCCCTGTAACTCTCAATTGATTGATTAGAAAATGGATCAAAATTTTGTGGGATTCGACTAGATCTAGAAATTTAATGAGGATGTGCAAAAGGACTTGCCTCGACGGAATCAGAAACAATAACTGAGTAGAGTGAAGGAGGAATACAACATTGACTAGTGACCAAGTATATAATTGGGGTTTAATTAATTACCAAGATACACCCCCCGCAATTTTTTTTTTACCAAGATACACATAAAATCTTTTCAATGCTTCGAGAATATTTGAGTTTAATACTACCAAATATTTCTCCAATAATGTGTGTAATCTTTTCCAGGAAAGTATATCCAGCGTTAAATGTTCTATATTCATAGTATCGTCCTACTGTAGTACTGTACTCAAGTAACAAAAATTGGAGAGATATTCTTAGAGGGAAATTATGATGGTTATGAATTGACACGTTAGTGTGTGAACTGCTTGCAGGATGCCCAGTCCAATTTCGCAGGTTTGGCTGAGCTTCTGCCCATGGTGGCCACGGAGGACCGGACGGTGATCATCACGTCGGTGAACGAGGCGTTCGCGCGGGCGGGCTCCCTGCTGGGCCTCTTCCGTGAGAGCTTCTTCGCCGGCGAGAAGATCGAGCACTTCCTCGACCACCTCCTCATCGTCGCCGTGGACCCCATGGCCTACCGCCACTGCCGGAGCGTGCACCGGTTTTGCTACCTCCTCCCGACGACGAAGACGTCCATGAACCTGAGCTCTGCGAGCGACTTCATGAGCGACGCGTACGTGGAGCTGGTGTGGACCAAGCTGGAGCTCCAGCAGCGCGTGCTCCAGCTCGGCTACAGCTTCCTCTTCACGGATGTGGACATCCTGTGGTTCCGGGACCCGTTCCGGCACATCGGCCTGCACGCGGACATGGCGACGTCCTGCGACGTGTTCTCCGGCGACGCGGACGACCTCAGCAGCTGGCCCAACACGGGGTTCTACTACGTGAAGTCGACGAACCGAACGGTGGAGATGCTGCGGCGGTGGCGGACGGCGCGGCGGAGGTTCCCGCGGAACCACGAGCAGACCATCTTCAACAACATCAAGCACGAGCTCGCCGGCGCCGACAGCGACCTGCGCATACGCGTCCAGTTCCTCGACACAGCGCACTTCGGCGGCTTCTGCCAGCTGTTCCGCAACGACATGGCGAGGGCGTGCACCATGCATGCCAACTGCTGCATCGGCATGGCGAACAAGATCAGCGACCTCCGGGACGTGCTGGGGCAGTGGAGGAACTACACAGTGATGGCGCCGGCGGAGAAGATGAAGGCCAAGGCCGCCGGGAGGAGCTTCC